TGACTGCACAGAATAACAAATTTTTTGGCAACTAAAACTTTTTTAATATAGGATTTCAACTGTTAATTTAGCTGTTCATCTAGAATTCAGGATACTATGATTTTAATGGGTGCATATTTGAACTATTATCCTTAATTTAGACTGGAAATAACAGTTACAGTGTAGGTGTTGATATATATGTGCTCCAGACACAAGAGCAAGTCAAAGTCTGCATACTTACAGGGGAAATTACAAAATTAAATTGTCTATGTATTCTAAGGCAGCTCGTGATGATTTGATGGCTTGATTACCCCAACGACACAGTCAGTGTTGATGGGGGAATGCCTCCCAAAGCACAATTGTGTTCTGCTGGTGGGGGAGGGGGGCAGAACATAATGATTACTGCTAGTAGTAATGTTTGTTATTTGTCCTATTCACACAGCATATCTGAAAATAATATTGTTTTTACATTTCTAGTTGCTTCTTTGAAGCAGGATGACACAAGGATTCCATGAGCGGCTTCTATTACTTTGAAAAATAAAAAAAAAATAAGATAAGGGACAGAAGTAGAGAGACTTTTTTTTTGCACTAACATACAATGCAGAACTCAAGCCATGAGATTAACCCTTTGTTAGGACAGACCAGGGTTCAAGTCTAATTTACAATTGATAATGAAATCTGCCATCACAGTACAGACAGGGTTAAAGTTGTTTTAAAGTGAAAACCTTTTTTACCCTAACGCATTTCCTGCATTACGGTAAAAATATTCCATAGCTGGGTAGGATTTTTAAACAAGTAGAATCACTTAAAAGGGTATGCTTCAATTTTATTTTTTATGCTATGTGAATGGTTAAAGTAGGTGTTATCCAAATTCGGCTGCAAAAGTAAAAATACATTTTAAACCATTAGAAACTATAGTTTTCAGTACCCTGAACAGAGTGAAAGAGAAAACAGTAAAGAAAAGCACTGTTTAGCAATATTAAGCAGCAAGTATATAATGTAGAGGCATTTTAATCAGAGTACAAAAGAATATTTGACCTGCCACTATACTATAGTGTTGGAACTTGAAAAACATTTTCTTTCTACAAGTGGAATGCCCAAGGGTTATCTTCTCATGTTTACCTTTGATTGCTGGAACCTGTAAGCCTAACAAAGTCTTTGCACATAAAGCATACAACCTACTTCTCTCCTCAAAAGATTATAATTTTGTTTATGTAATAATTATGTAACAAGATAGGTTTTTAAAAAGTGGCACTGTACAAAAGGGTATAATCTTGAATGGGTGTCTAAGGCAGCATGATCATTTAAAGGAGAAGTACAGCCAAAGCTATTTTGTATATTTATAGTGACCCATTTTCATCTGACAGTGGACTGAAGGCTGCTGTTGGCTGATGACACTCAGCCGGTCTAGGCTGGGAAAAGATCCCGACTTCAAAGTCGGGATCCACCCCAGAGACTGCATCAGCTCTTGGCTCAGTCTCCCAGTGGGCTGCTGAGAGCCTGAGCCAGCTGCTCTCTCCCCTTACACAGCCCAGCAATCCAGTGAGTTTGTGTATGTGGGGGGGGGGGGGAGTCACCTCTCTCTGCTCCGAGTGGTTGTGAGAACTCAACGAACCGTGGTCATGTGATCACTGAGTTCTCACACTTAGAGCCGGCAGGGGACAGATGCAGCATTGGACTGATGCTGCATCCATCTAGATAAGTATAACTGGGGGGAAAAAGGTCCATGCTTTTCTTTTAATGCAATCACTTCTTAAAGTTGTTGCCACATTTATCAGGTCAACTTCACCAAATTACTTCCTGCTCTCCTCTATCCCATCCACGTAAAATCTTCTAAACATACATGTTCTTCCTATTGAAAAACCCAAATAGAGATGGACAATGTGCACTCGGAGAAACCATTTATTTATATATATATACACAGTATACTGTACATATTATAGGAAACAGCAGATTACAGGTATACTGTGTGTTTTTTAATTTGTCTATGTGTTGTTGTCTGGTTGTAACTATGGATGTGGCTGATTTTTGTACATTGCTATTTGGGCCTTTCTGAGCCATGCCAAATGCTCGACAAGAAAGTTGTGGTTTGTAAGCATGATGAGGGTTTTCACTGTGTGTTTTGTGTTTTATAGAATAATGGATTGCAGGCAGGCTATGCTGCTGCTTATGCTGGTAGTGTTTATTACCTAAACAGTACAGCTGTGGGATTGACTGAAAGAAAAAAACGATATCCTTAAAAAACACAGTGAGGGACTTCTGCATGCTCAAAATACAAGTGAAAACACTTTGCATTTTAAAAGAATTGCAAGTGTGCCTCTACTTCTACACTAATCCAGGGACGGACTGAAAACTCATGGGCCCCGGGCAATAGGGGATCATGGGGCCCCTGTGTTCTCACCCACACCCAAAAAAGCCTATGAAAAAGGTACCAGGGGCATCTCATGGGGCCCCCTACTGACCCAGGGCCCTCAGGCAGTGCCCGAGTTCCCAAATGGTCAGTCTGCCCCTGCACTAATCTGTTGTCACAGCTATGCTTGCCAAATTTACAAAGGTGACATAACCTACAAGTGAAAGGCACCATTTTATTTTGAGCTAGGGGTTTTTTTTTTTCAAAGTAAAAAAAAAAATATTAAAATGCTATAAATTATCAACCAAACATATGAAAAACATGAATAAAGCTCATTTATTTATAGCTTGCTTTTATGATTAGAGCTGCTTTAGGGAACCCCAAGACATTCAACAAAAAGAGACCAGGGTGGCATAGAATTCGAGACCAATGCACCACTGCATAGTTGTCAAAGTACATACAGTGCCTATCCAGAGGTTGGTGATTAGACAAAATAAACAGGTGTAAGGGAGAAAGTTTATCATGGGATTAGGGTTAGGGAAGAAAGATAACCATGGGGTTAGGAATAGGGAAGAAAGACATAAAGGGCACAAAATGTTTTTGTTACAAACATGCACAATAGTGAGTTATCTCCAAGATAACTGATCATGCACTTTCTGTATTTTTCCTTCAATAAATCAACATATGTTATTGACAAAATGGACATAGTGTACAGTTTACATCTAGAGCCAATAAATACAATAGATATATAACTCAGATGAGTTTTGACAGGATGGGATGCCAGAGTATTAATTCTCATATTTTATTTTGTATGCCATTGTTATCAATATCGGAAACATACAAAATAACATCATATGATGTTTATGATCTTACCATAAATGATAAGATGTTGCAACTCTTAAGTTAAAGTTAATTTAGGGTAATGGACCAATATTATTTACTAGTGTTCATGGTAATTCTTCTGGTGAAAAATATTAAAACTACAGAGGCTAACTTAGCAAGACGTTGGGACCAAATCAAAATATATTGCAATTAGGAAAACAAGTTAGGCCTGAAATGCAGACATTCTTCATTATGTAGGAGTCAAAGCATTAGTGTGAAACATGAATCATAATGCAAAAATGCAGTTGCACATCGCAAGATTGTCTTGTTACACATTCTAAAGCTGTCTATACACTTGTAGATTTTTGAATGAACATTCAGATGAACATTCATATGAAAATTATGTACAGTATATTTGATGACTGGACAAATGTTGTTTCGAAAGTACTTCCAAATTTAGTTTGCTTTCAACTTTTGATTTTGGAATGAATATAATTTCCCGAATGAAAACCACATGCACTATTAGAAATTTGTGAATTCTAGAAAATGAACCTACTGCCAATTTGACCACACTAATAATTAGAGAATCGAACAAGCTTTCTTATAACTAACATTTTCAAGTTAAATTCTACTAATGTGCAGCCAGCTTAAAGTGCTCTCCAGGTATGAACGGTCCATACAATGCATTATACATGAGATAATGAGAAATTTGAAGAAGCCTGCATGGGCTTAGGGTGTTGGGACTGCTAAGTGGAGCCTGCTATCCATCCCCAGAAATCTGATTTTTCTATAGTCGGTGGGTAAGCACTAACCATTTTTCAGATTTGTGCCCAAACTTTTTGATGCAAAACAGATCTTTGCGTTTATGGTAAACAAAAAGTATACAATACAACTGCATCTCTAATACTTTATTCTTTTCCTCTTTATAATGTATATGAATAAATAAAAGGATATTTACCCATTTTCAGTGATGGGCAAGGAGCACAACAAAATGGGTTTGCAATATAAGTTTAAATTTAAAAAAAATATTAAAGCAGTATACACATCGTAGAAGCAAGTCTAACAAAATATGTGTGTCACAGTCATATCCAGAGTCCTCAAAAATCCAAAGAATCATTTGCAAGTCTCCATTTTTTTTAAACTTGTGCAGTCAGCATGGGAGTATTTCATATAAATTTATTTAGTTTCTGTAAAAGTAAAAATCCATATGGCCTTCTGAGCAGCTTCATAAAGGTTCTTGACTTTATACTATGAAAATATTCTCCAAATTTCTTGAATCATAGTCTGCCAAACACCAGAAATCTAGGCATGAAATGATGGTGTGCACAGGTATATCCTTTCCAGTGAACCATTTTAGTGTTTCTGTAAGTGGAAAATGTCCCATTCATTTGTAGCATTAAATAGGCTGTTACTGGGGTTCACTAATAGTTAACAGTTTGAAAGCATCTACAGGAAATATTTTTGATGACAATCAATGTATTCTCCTTTTATGTCCTCAGCATATTTGTTGCATATTGGCAATAAGCACTTGCATATAAGCATCAGTCTCCATTAATGATATAAAGCCACACAGCAGAAAAAAGCTGTCAAGCAGTGGTCTGTTGTGTACTACTAGATCATGGATCGCAGTTAGAAAACCACTTATATTATTGCAAACTTCTCTTACAGAAAGGGCTGGTTCTTTGCTGGCCTTTGTCAGAGGGTCCGCATTGCATCCTGGGAAGTATAGTCTTGTCTTTAGTGCCTTGCAGAATTACTTAAATAAGAAGCCATGCAACTGTACTACACTTATACCCAGAATCTTGCGGGGCCTGTGACTCCTTGTCCAAAGTGTAGACATTTGTTTGATTCAAGTCTGATCAAGCCATTCTGCCCTTTTTGGAGCCTTACATGTATGCACATCGACTGTTTCTTCACATTCCTTACAGCGCACTGCACAACACCAGTGGAATTTACACTCGCATTTGGTGGTTCGGTTAACACGAGTGGTATCATATCCTCTACCACAGCACATAACTTCACAGCCATCTGTTCCTCTAGAAGCTTTGTCACACACTCTACCTGCTGTGCCCAATGAACCTGGAAAACAACATATTGCAATGTGTTATAAAATGTAATGACAAACCGATAATTTGAAATCATAGAATGTACAAGTAGTCTAACCCTAACCCCAATCATTTACCTTGGAAAGGTACAAGAAAAAACGTAAACCTTTCAAATCTCTAGGCTCAAGTTTTCATTTTTTTCACCTATATTGATAAACAAGGACTTGTATATTAGCAAATTCTTTCTTCTCTGTCTTCTTAACCTTCCTAATTGCCAACACTGCTTCAAACTACTTGCTGTTATTCTTTGATAGGAGATAAAAATGGTTCTCCATCTGACTTGGGTTTAGAGCAAGGCCAAGAAAGTATGTTTTCCTGATGGTTTGATTTGTCATTATTTTTTTTTATTGCCACATCTGCAGGTATTTCTAGCATACAACCTCTGGTTGTATTATGGACTACTACACAAGGGTGCATTGATAAAAATCAGTTACTAAAATAAATGGCCCTTTGGCTATAGAATAAATTACTTCTCAATGTCTCATTATTTTAGGTTTGGATAGAGTATCAACTGGCAAAACCCAGGTAAGTTTATTTGTTGCTGTCTATGTGCCACTGGGGAAATGTTAACTTTCACTTCCTGTCCTGGAGATGAAACAAAAATTGAGAGAAAATAAAGTGAGTTTCCTCTCAAGTGGCTGTCACCAAAGTTCCAAGTCTACCATAGACATATATAAGCCATGTCTAATTCAGTGGTCTCCAATTGGAGCCAGATGTGGCCCTTTGACACTAATGATGGGACACCATTCCTCTCATTGACAGCATCAATGGGTCACTATCCCTCCCACTGATACCAAAGGGGGACACCATTCCTCTTGTTAAAACCAATGATAGGGCATTGCTTGTTTCCACGGACCACTGTCCAAATTCTGACAGACAGTAAACTGGCCCTTTGCTTAGAAAGTTTGGAGACCCCTGGTCTAATTGTTGGCTAGTCTAATTGCAAATGTGATATGGATAATTAACTTTCTAGAATATTTAAAAAAGATAAGGCTCCAAGTTTCTCTGAAATATGCTAACTACCACTGTATGCTGTACTTAGAAAGACATTTAATCCAACTTTAGCGTGACTATTGATAATTTCACTGTTGAATCTAAACTGGTATAGCATTTACATCAGGCACACAGCCTTATCACAAATTAGCAACACATACAGTACATAGATAAATTGTGGAAATACTGGTTGTATAATAGAAAGGAATGGATACAAATTGAGAGAAGGCGTTATTTATGTGTCTGAGAGGCTTTTTTTTTTTTTAAACCTAAGGCTGCATGCTTTCACATAATTTAGTGTATTACATCACTGCTTCCTGATAAAGCAAAGGGGAAATCCCTGCTGGAAAACAGTTGACTCAACAGAATGAATACTGTCTGATTGATGCATTTTACATTAGCCGTTATTTCAACTGGAAAACCTGTACTTGTGACAGATAATTGATTTCACAAAATCTAGTCATGATCATCTTATTTTGTATTTCTCCAGGTACACCTGCTGTGACATACCCTTTTCGTGTCACATTCTGTTTTACAGTACATGACAAACATTCTTTTGAAATATAATTGGTGGAAGTAAAAGAATAAATGTTGATTTTCACTTCCTAGTAAATGTGTATCAGCAGAATTGTGGCTCAGTCAGTCAGATATCGCCGCAGCTGAGATCTGATACCCACATGACTTATTTCCTCTGGACTGCATGTCATGTCTAAATGGTATCACATTCTTTTCATAGAAAACTCTTTTTCATCTTTCTCTGTGGTCTACCTCATCTCCCTCCAGCAACTGTGAGAGTGAAAGGATTAAATGGCCATTAAAACAGTTCCCATGGGCTACGTGCTACAAGTAAGATGGTTTAAAAAATCTACTTCTCCCTAGCAAAAAGATCTTTTGTTGATCTTCATTGCTGTCTTCAACATTTTTCTGTCCAACCTATCACTTGATCCTGCCATTTCAGAACAAATGGTCCAATAGCTTAACATACAGTTGGCATATCTTTAGGCATACAAAGCTGGACAAAGCTGCATATATCCTCTACTGCTAAGTATTTTGTGTGAAAAGAATTATTGTTAAGGTTTTGATGCATTTTGTACTTAAAGAAACCTACCATTGCTAACCGGATCTTTTTTTTAAATACCAGTTGCCTAGTTATTTGCTGATCCAAAAGTGTCATTACACCCAAAATGTATTTTTTCATTAGAGGCTCCCAAATAAAATTGCCAGTTTCTGTGTGGTCTACTATTGCCATAAAACCATATCAGTAAATATCTGGTGATCCTGAAGGCTGATCTTCTATCTACAGTGTTGCCATATGTCTATGCATGCTCTAATGTGTCTCAAACAACCTGTTTTTACACAGAGTTCCCTGTTCCCCTCCCTCCAACATATTCACATGACATAAATCAATTGCAGTCCTTGCGCATCCCTCTCACACATTCCATAGCAATCCTGCCAATCCTGGGTCACCAGACTCCTGCCCCCCTCTTATTTGACAACCCAAGCCAATCACTCTCCTCCTGATAGAACACTCATGGAAAATGTACTGTAGTATACTATTGGGTCTATGGAAATACAGTGAGGAGTGCTAGTGGGCAGGGTTAAGTTACAGTTCCTAGCATACCACATGGTTGAACACCTCACCTGCCAGCTGCCTCTTGGTCAGTGGCAGAATTTTTTTTTTTTTCACTGAAGGATCAGTGGATTGCAGGTGCAGCAGGGAAAGGACAAGAGTACAGGAGTCTACAGGGACATCCTCACATAAGAGAGAACCTGATACACTGCAGCTTAACCCCTGCTTACCGACATGCAGAGTGGAGTAGTGTCACATGACCTAAATGAAAAAGCTAAAAAAAAATTATTTATCCTACATGAAAAAGGGCAGTTTGGGATTACTTACTTTTTGTTAGTCTTTGCAACCTATATGGTGATTCAGGGTGTAGATTGATGTTACTGACACTTTAAACCTCAAGGACCCTGTCACATTAGCAATCATGTCGCAGGTCAGAACTTATAAGCAACAGGCATGATAAGATGTATGTGTCCCTCCCCAGCTGGTTGAGCAAGGTGTCACTTCATCGCTGATGAAAATGCAGTTACCAGTGTGATGGCTATTTTGGGCCTATAAATAATTTTCACCTTCTTGGGCCTACAATAATTTTTAATATTATTGTGAACTTCTGATAGGGGTCTCAATTCCTTTAACCTATTTACCATCTAATGTATCACCTCAACACCCCCCCTCCCCCACCCATGAAGGTTTCCTGTAGAAGTTTATGCCAGTAAGGAAATGAATAAGCCATGGAGTCGTCATTTCTAACACCTCCTAGGGAGTATTGTCATAGACTTTCCTGTGGGAACTGGGTTTTCAAAGGAGGTATGTTTCCTGGACATTGGCCTATCCTAAATTAACTACAGTTGGCCAATGTCTTTCACAAATCACAGAGCCCCCCTTTGAACAGAAATACTGGAACCTATTGAAGGATGGGACAACCTGGAAAGGAGGGGGTATAAAGGTCTGCCTCTGTGTCCCTTCTGCCCTTTTTCCCGGGAGCCCAGACCTCAGAACATCAGGATGTCTGTAATGTATCACCATTGCTCTGTCTTTTTCCTGTAACTATTTCTTTCTTGTAGTCTTTCTTTGTATTGGTAACATTCTGTATTCAGATTGTAATATTAATACTTTTAAAGTTATACCGGCTACTATTTATTTTGTCATAATTGATTAGTAGTCAGCTTCTTTGCTGTGTAAATAAATTAGATCTTTATTTTTGCACAGTTGTTTTTCCTTTGCTATTGACATTATTGGTAATAGCCACATGAGGATTGGCTAAATTTATGTATAGATAAAAGGTTGTAATCACTTATTACATTTATAATCTTCGATAGAACCAAGTAAATAAGTGTGGGAGCAAAACAGCCAAAACACCAGAAAGAGAGCAACACCTCACTCATGCAGCTGGCAAGGGCACAACACATACAGGTAGGTAAGTGTTTCACTGTCCTGCTGTCTCCTGCAGAATAAGCATGATCCTGACAAGTTCTTGTAAATTACAAGACCACTAGTGCGATAGGGCATAGCTATGGACATTCACAAAATTATTTAAATATCCTCACAGCTGATAAAGGATTTAATGCTTGTTTTTTTTCTAGGCAATGAGGTAAAATTTATTAATAGTTACTTTAATCCAGGATCCTTTGGTTTTCCTCCCTACTGGTTGTGACAACCACTCCCACAAGGTCACTCTTCTTGCAAGTCCTGTCATTCACCCTGTCACCAATGTCTTCACATACAATGCAGGATCTGTAGTTACTGCAGTTCCTATATTGTAGGGGGTGATGTAGGTGTGGTGACAAGGGGTGGGGAGAGCAACAGATTGCTGGCTATTGCGGGAGTTCAGCTCTTAATGTGCTCTGAGTAACTGACCTTAAACAAGTATGCATATCAAGAGTTCTGACTTCCTCTTGTTTCCTTAGCTTTATGCAGTAACTCAGAATGGGACAGATAACATTTTAATAAGCAATGGAAGCCTCTTTACTGGTTTTATTTTCATGCTTGGGCATACAAACTGATTCAACTGTATGACTATGAAAAGAGTCCCTAGCCACTGAACCGCTGTGTAAATCAGTTAGCCAAAGCCAGGCTCTTGGGTGCTACGATTAATTTGCGCATACTATGATGAATGGGGGCTGGAACAACTTTAACTTTAACTGACAAATACATCTTTACCTACCTGTTGCTTACAGCAACACTGTCATTAAAATTAAAGTGCCAATAAAGATGTCCTTACAAAGATGATAGTGTTAACTTCTGCCATTGGCTGCATCTGCAAATACCACTCTAATCAGGTATGACATCTCTTCAGAAACCAACACTTCTGCAGTGTCAGTCCTCTCATGCACTTCTCTTCTGTGCTCAGTGTTTCATCTTGCAAACTCCTGCATCACTACAGGACAAAGTAGTGACTTTGGGGTTGGTTGAAG